TGGCAAGAGTACCGGATGCCGTGTACTCACACACTCGCCATTGCCTGCAAAAAAGGGTGATCAACATGTCAATTTATACGATAGGCGTTGGAGGCTCCGAGGATGGATCAAACAATTTGAATACGAGGGTTTTGCACTGGTGCCTGATGAGCGACAATGGCCTCATGTTGATTGGAAGCTCCATCCGAACTATGAGCGTCTCGTCTTGAATGCCGGACCAGGGCGACAACAAAAACGGAGATATAAGATGCAAATAGATTACTGTAATTGTCAAAACCAGGGGCTTTGGTGGAGATGTTGCGGAGATCACTCTCCTAATGTGTGACCTTTCTCGCATGACCAAGTAGATAAAACTTGCCAGGTTGACCGATGAGAGTGAACAATGATTACTTTGTTGTTCTATTTTGGAAAGTAGTTGATGTATGAATGTTTAATTAGTTGTTGGCAAATTGGCATCTTATGTAATGTTTGGATTGAGACATTAAATTAGTATCATATGTAATATGTAATGATCGTAGATCGCATTGTGTTGTATTGTGTTATTTGGTTTGAATGTAAACATGTTTTTGGTTTCGCCCAAAAAAATTAGGCATTTCAAAATTTTGCGTAGGTTTCGGATTAGCTTAATCCGAAATATACCATTTCAACAAATCTCGGATTACTGAAATCCAAGAAGCCCCTATTTCTCTAAAAACTGCAACTCCCCGATGCAATTTCTCTGCATCAACTTCCGACTTATGTAAATCCGAAAGCATTGTTTCGGATTAGACCAATCCGAAATAATCTGTTTCGGATTACGCATACCCGAAAGTCCCCTGATTCTCTAAAAATTGCAACTTCCCGATGCAATTTTCTCTGCAACAACTTTCAGGTTACGCAAATCCAAGGTCCCACTTGTTTCAGATAACACAAATCCGAACTTTGAGGGGTATATAACGCGGATCTTTCTTCCCCCAATTCATTTGTCCTAATTTTTTTTTTCAGAAATGTAGATTTGATCTTTGCATTTTTTTTTCCGTAGTTGTTGTTGATGCCTTGAATTAAATTTTTTAAAAAAATTTTGGAAAATATAAGATTTGAGAAATCCGAAAGTTCCTACTATAGTGGCTGGTTAATGATGTTATTTGGAGTTAGTATTTCCGATAATTGTTGCTTATTTGTGCAATTGGATTAATTATTGTTATAGTTTAGGTATGTTGTTGTTGGTATTTTTTTCTCATTAAATTAGGTTTATATTGTTATAGTTTAGGTATGTTGTTTTTTTTAAAAAAAAAAAACATTAATATTGAAACTGTTATATTTGTTGTGGTGTAGGCCATCATGGAGGAAGCTTCCGGCTCCCAATATAAACAGAAATACATTCATCCGGATCCTTTAAATGGACCTAGTATACCTTCAAGATGAACACCGGTCCAAAGCAGTCTACGAGGCCCAAATCCAAGGGATTAAGACCAAGACTTTTAAGGGACGTACATTTGATCAAACTTTTTTGGATATTTACAAAGAAGATCAAATGACACCACAACCGGTACGAGATAATGGCAAAGGCCGGTTTCGAGGGGATTTTGGAAAATGGGCACAAAAACCTGACCTTAGTCATATAATTGCATTGGCGGAACGGTGGAGGCCAGAGACACACACCTTCCACTTCGATTTCGGAGGGGCAACGATGACACTACAGGATGTGGAGGTCCTATTCGGTCTCCGCGTCAATGGTGATGCGGTTTGTGGTGCGGCGCCCAACTGAAATATGGCGGAATGGCAACAAGTATGCTAAGAGTTGTTGGTGTTCACTCCTCCCGCTACTCGAATAGCTGGGAATACAATTAAGATTAATTGTATATTTGAGGAGATGTGCGAAGATAATGTGTTGCTTTTTTTAATAAATGATGTTTTGTTATGCGTTTAGGTTTAAAATAGTGCAGTTTTTAAGTTCTCCGGACATCGTGCATCAACAAACGGCCCAAACAATGCTCCTATGTTTAATGGGGAGTTTTATGTTTCTGGACAAGAGCCAAAATAGTGTAGGTCTACACTTATTGAACCACTTGGCCGATTTTGAAGCTTGTGCTAAATTAAGCTGGGGATCGGCTCTCTTTGCTCATTTATATTCAGGCTTATGTGAGGCTGCCAACTACAAACAGAAAGATATAACCGGATGTGTATATCTTTGACAGGTATGGCAGTTTAATCAAAACGTTTTACTCGAATTGATGATTTTCATTTCTATCTTTGTTATTTTTAGTTATAATAAATACGGGTTTCAGTGTTGATTTAGGTATGGGCATACGATCGACTCCCTCGAATCACGCCCTATAGAGTGACCAAGAAATTCGAAGAGGATCCTACCGCTCCTTTAGCTTGCCGGTGAGTATTACTATTTTGACTCCTTTTAAGAATACTATTTTTTTTAATTAAATTTTTTGTCAATAAATACCATTTTCTATTTTTTATTCATAGGGTGGGCTTGTTCGTACAAATACGAGGATGTTCTAAGGAGTAATCTCCCAGTTTTTAGAGATCAAATGACTAACCTAACCGTCACCGACGTAAGAATGCATTACTCTATGTACTTTTATCTTAGTTGAATACATAAGATGAATTTCCGAGTTTATTAATTCCCATTTTTCTCACAGTTTATTTGGCAACCTTATGGATCCTCCTTCCTGACCTCCCTGAATTTTGTCAACGGGGAAGTGCCATTTAGATAGCAAGGACTTGGACGTTTTTTTGGTCCGTTAGAGAACCCCACGAAATAAATAGAGTCGTGAGGCAGTTTGGATACATACAAGATGTCCCACGAGACCCTATGATTCCCGGTATCATAGAGTTTTAAAAGGACTACGAATATACCATGTCAGGGCTACCCCAAAAAAATTGGTGGGATCACCACAAAAATAACCACCCTCATTGGAATAGGAGAGCCCGTAACATAGCAAGGGGTTTGGATGAAGTAGGATTCCCTGGCCAACCTTCGTATGACTACAAAGAGTGGTTCAGCAAGAATACGGTGAGATTGATATCCAATCCAAGGAATTATATACCATTTGGATATGAAAATTCCTCGACTCGGGTGAAAGTATATATAAGTGATTATTTATAAATCTTTTGCATGTTAAAGTGAATTTGACTCTATTTGATCAATTTCGCATTATACTATTCTAATTAACTTCCATTTGACTTCCAGGCGGACATGTTGAACAACATCCGTGTGAAGGCCTCGACTATCAGAGACTCCCGCCATGAGGACGGGGAATTAGACCCTCCCCCCCTCGAGGAGCTGCTCGACGATATCATCAGTCAAACGCATGCCGTGTTAATTCTTGGCAAAGACGATGAGATAGAAGTAGCTGAGAATGCCCAAATCGTTAGGGATCATGACCCCGCTCAACCCTACAAGGCCCGCGTGGTAAAACAAAGAAGTTATTGCCGAAGGAGAAGCTTGGAGGAGGAAGAAAGAAAAGATAGAGATTCCACCTAGGCCTTCTCAATCACAACATCAAGGGGAAGGTCCGAGGCAAGTCGAGAAAATGGATACGGGGGTAGAACGTGAGGAGGACAATCATTTCAACCCGACACCATTTTTGAGGAAGTGCCACCTCGCACCCTTGGTACTCCGGTTGGTCTAGACTCACAACCCCAAACCGTACACTTGGACTCCCACTTGAAATAATTATGCCAGAGCTGGAGACACAGATGGATTACTCGGATTTCTAAATAGGCAGGATATGCCAAAAAAGGCCCCAAACAATTACACCCCACCAACTATTCTGAAGAGAGGAAAAAAGAAACATTAGTTTAGTGTTTTATATTGTTTTGGATGAATTTGATTAACTAGTGTTTGGTTGGATGTCTTTTGGATGTTTTATTTGGTTGGATGTTTGGGATGTTTTATTTGATCTAATATCGTTTATTTGGATGTTGCATTAGGTTTTTTTTTTTCGTATTTTTGTGTGTCTATAAAACAGGTTTTGGACTGTTTGGTGCTGTAAAACAGGTTTTGGACTGGTATAAACCAGTCTTTTTTTTTGTAGTGAAATGGTACGTGTCGAATTTGGCAAATCCGAAACATACCATTTCATATCGGATTTGACAAATCCGAAACATACCATTTTGAACTAATCTCGGATTTGTCAAATCCGAAAGTTGTTGCAGGAAAAAACCAACTGAAAGTTGTAATTTTCTATGAAACATGGGAATCTTGGATGACACAAATCCGAGAGGTTGTTTCGGATTTGTTTCAGCACTTGAAATTATTTTCTAAATCAGAAATTAATTTTTTATTTTACTAAGTCAGATTTGTTAAATTTCAAATTATGTTAAAATTAATTAATTATATGATTAAATTGATCTTACGTTTAATTAATTTTATTAATCATTAATTCAGATTTGTATAATCCGAATTTAGTTTGTCTCGGATTTGTTTAATCCGACTGTTTTAAAATTTCAGATTTATATAATTCGGGACAACTACTGTTATCCACCTATTTTGGCGGCACGTATTTTTGTCCACTCACTTTCTGGAAATATTTTTCGGTAAAAAACTCCCCATTTGAGTTCAAAGGCACAACACTCCTTACTAATATTTTCTTAAATTTCTATTTTTGTAAATGTTATGGCTCCTTCCATTCTTATTTATAAGGTACTTTTCATGTTTTCCTTGGTCCTATTTATAAGGCATTTGATATTTTTGAGATTTCATTTATGGTGTTTTTACCTTAGCTTACTTGATTACCTAAACTTTAATTTGATTGACTCCAAGAAATGTTGGGAGAAATTTCATGTGGATAATATAGGAAGTTCATCGGAAAGTAACTAAATTAACTATTTTTTTAATTATTGAAAGTTAGTTATTTTTACCTTAAAAAACCACAAAAACAAAAAATAAAAACAAAAAAAAGGGGGAAAAAGAGAAAGAAGGAGAGTGAATTACCATAATAGCCCAACTTTATTTATGCATTAAACTTTTGGTGTGATTTATCATTTTGTTTGCATTTTGGGTCTACGTACGAATCCATCTAAATTGGAGGGAAAAAGGCGAAGGAAACCTCCCCTGAAGCTGAAGGAAACACATCCAGAGAAAGGAAATGCCGGTGGCACGACCGGAGTCATCAGATTCCAGGGTTATTGCTCATGTTGATATGGATTGCTTCTATGTTCAAGGTTTTCTTTTTCTTGTTTCTTTTTTTTTTCAGCCCCTGTTCAAGTTTCAACTCTGTTTTATTTGACCCGACTTTGGCTTTGTTGAATTCATTCAGCTTTTATTAATTCCATTTTGTGAATAAATTTGCGAAATTGTAAACGTGGTGATTAACTTGGTTTAGTATGTTTGAGAAATCTTATTGTGTTTGTGGAGAAGAAAATAATATGGTATATGATTGATTTTCCATGTGGGTTTTCTAGTCTGTGAGCACTTAACTTGATGGCCCCCTTTCTTTCAACTTCCCAGAATATGAAAATTCGACTCATGATCAAGCTGAAAAACTGGTGATAGAATTGTGATAGAGGCTATAAGCGATATCTAATAAGGGGTTTTTTTTTTTTTTTTTAATAGCTGGGTTTTACTGTGGATACTAGAAAGGAGACTTTAAGAATTGACTCAACTTCTGGATGAGATGAAGTAGGAGATCATTTAATCTGCTGGATTTGTCTCATCTTATGGTTTTCCATGATGTATTTATAAAGGCTTCACCTTTTAGGGTGTGATAACCTTATCGTATGAGTGTACTTGACATTTGCGTAGTGCCATTTTTCTCATTGATTGCATACTTGGATTTTGGCACCATGGTTTTTTGTATTGCTGATTGGTTTCATATACCAGTTGAACAGCGCAAGCAGCCAAATTTAAGAGGACAACCAACTGCTGTTGTGCAGTACAACAACTGGAAAGGTGGGGGCCTAATCGCTGTTGGTTATGAAGCTCGCAAATTTGGCGTAAAAAGGTGGCTTATAATGCATTTCTTTTTTCCTTATAGTTGTAATTCCTTGGATACTCCTTTCATGTTTGGTTGACGAAAGCTCCTGTGGTTGGATAATTAACATCAGTGTTGAAATTTTTTTAGATCAATGCGAGGTGATGAGGCAAAAGAAGTTTGCCCACAGATTCATCTTGTCCAAGTTCCAGTTAACCGTGGTAAAGCTGACTTGACTGTGTACAGAAATGCTGGTTCAGAGGTTGCACAACTTCTTGAACTTAGATAGTATCTTCCGCCAATATCAATATTCTCTCGATACTTTAAAGAGATGTGAGGATGCTTCCATTAATGAAGCATCTGGTATCTATCAACTACTTAAGTTCTTTGAATCTTTTGTAGGTTGTCTCAGTACTTTCAAAGAAAGGTAGATGTGAGCGTGCGTCAATTGATGAAGTATATCTTGATCTTACAGAAGCTGCTGAAAGGATGTTGGCAGAAACTCCTCTTGAGAGGCTGGAAGCTATAAATGAAGAAGCCCTCAAATCACACATCCTGGGGCTTGAGATGGTTTGTGAACGCATTGCATTTGCTACTGTTATCTTTTACTGGCGATAGAGTTCTGACAATACGATGATTATCTAATATAGAAGCGCTGCAAATTTCCCTTCTTTTTTTTTTTCTCGTGTCATGTTTAAGATCTCATTCAAGCCCTGCTGTATGGTGTTATAACAAGGCTTTCTCTTGGATGTCAGTCTCTCTTTTCTATTACCTAAGCTTTCCTCCATGATCGTGATGGTTTTCTTTTCCTTCTCTTTTTTGTTTGTAATATGGCTGTTTGGCTGTAAATGCATTAAAAGATAGTGCGGGTGTTCTCTGTCCTGCTGCCTTTTGTGTCTCTTCCTTGTAATAGCTGGTTTCCCACTGGTGCAGGATGGAGTTGATGTTAAAGAAAATGTGAGGAATTGGCTAGTCAGGCCTGATGCTGATCGCCGTGATAAGTTGTTAGCTTGTGGAGCACTTCTTGTTGCAGAACTTAGGTTGCAAGTATTGGAGGAGACTCAGTTCACATGCTCAGCTGGCATTGCACACAACAAGGTGGAGTATACTATACTATACTTTATATCTTTGCATTTGTGTCCAACAGAAAATAAATGCTTGAGTATCAGCCTTTTTCTTGGTTTCAAGCAGATTCTGGCCAAACTAGCCAGTGGTATGAATAAACCTTCTCAGCAAACTGTTGTGCCATCTTCATCTGTAACAAAGCTGCTTCAGAATTTTCCAATCAAGAAAATGTAAGCTTTTGTGCACCGATACAGTAGTTTGCTTCCTGGCTTTTTTGAAATTGCTAAGTTGAAATCATGTAATACTTGTTTGATACGTTTATACTGTATGTTTAAAGACGTATAAGAAAAAGGAGTTCATTTACCTGTAAAGTTCTATTATTCCATGGCCTAGTTTGTTTATATAACTGCTTCTAGGCATGGTTTCTGCTTTCTGTTATCACTATTGTATTTTCTCACTTTCCTCTTGGTGCACAGGAAGCAGCTTGGAGGAAAGCTAGGCACATCTATACAGACTGATCTTGCTGTGGAAACTGTCGGGGATTTATTGCAGTTTCCAGAATCAAAGCTTCAAGAGCTCTATGGAGTTAATACTGGGTCACTCACTATTTCATAACTCAAACAAGTTTCCACTTTGTCCTTAACTCCTTATTGTTTTGCTTTTCCAAGTAAAGGAAGGAGGCTAACAGTAAACATAATTCCAAGCATTAATCTAGTCCATCTGGTTTTTAAAGTCCGACATTTTAAATTCAAGCAAGTGATACCCCCTTCCTTGGGTGCACAATTTAATGTTTAGTGTGAAAACCTCTTTTCTTGTTGTTATTATTATCAGTACTTCGAAGAGCAGCACTTGGGTGGAGATTGATTTGTTTTCTAATATGCAGTACTTGGTTGTGGAATATTGCACGAGGAATCAGTGGTGATGAGGTTGAGGAACGTCTTCTTCCCAAGAGTCACGGTGCTGGGAAGACATTTCCTGGATGCAGTGCTCTTAGAAGCATTCCTGCAGTAAGTTTTCTCTGGACGAAGAAATGTTATCATTAAAAGTTGTTACATTTATATATCCATAAACCTTTGATTTCTCTTAATTTATGGAATCCTCTGCTGACATTCTAAAGGCTAAAGTGAAGTCTGAAAACTTAAATGATCTTATGAGTGATCTGTTCTGTTCAGTTTCAATTACATTTAGAGTTCTCGTTGTGTTTGGTCGTTCTTATAGTATGGGTTTGTTTTTTACTTTCTTCTGCTGCTGCATTTTTACCAGGTTGAGAATTGGCTTAAGGAACTTAGCGAAGAACTTAGTGAGCGTCTTCAATCTGATTTGGTGAAAAATAAGCGCATTGCTCAGTCATTGACAGTACATGCGAGTGCATACAAGGTGTTTCTTTTGACTATATGAGCCATAATCTACAAATCAATTTTTTGATTCTGTTCTAAAATCTTGTATTTTTGGTGCATGTCCTACAGTCAAGTGATAATGATTCACATAAGAAGTTCCCTTCAAAATCTGGCCCTTTGAGGTATGGGACTGCAAAAATTCTAGAAGATGCCATTCTGCTTTTTCAGGCTGGCCTTCGTGAATATCTTGGGTCACATAATCTTAAGACTTCAGGAGCTCATGATGGATGGGGAATAACTGGTCTATCTGTCTCAGCCAGTAAAATAGTTGCTATTCCATCAGTAAGTAACTTTGATGTACTGCTTTCCTTAAATTTGAGGAATGTGAACGCACTTGCGTCCAAGGAAAAGTAAGAGTAAGACTAGAATTTGTGTTAATTGTTTTTGGCCAGATAACAGAACTTATACGAATTATGACACAGCTCAGTTCCAATTCTAAACCCCATTATTTGGCAGTTGAGAGTCACTTTTAGATGTAAATCCATTTGATGTTTCATTTACTATTGTGGCATCAGAAGAGTTGTCTCATCCTGGGAAATTTCATATGTTTGTGCCAAGAAAATAAGTACCATTTGAGAACATGGGGTTCTCGTTTATGCCTGCTTTTGTTTTCCTGCTTCTGTTTGCCAATCAACTAGGTGCTTCATATAATTCTAATTATCTTTCAGTAAACTGTTTAATAGGGCTTTCAATCCAAATATTTAGATGCGCCATTCTCATGGAAAAAGAGATATCGCTGCATTTAGGATATTTTTCATGAGTATACAGCTTTACTGGTAACATTCCTATTATCCAAGAGTGATTTTCTCTTTATCCGTCTGCTTTTGAACATGAATTTGTTTTCAGTATTTACATTTTCCAGAATGTAATATTGCATTTTTTGCAGATTTAGCATTGTTAAGCTTTTTTCTTGTTATTTATTGTCTTAAGCTTAATGTTATGGAATGTTGAGAAGATAGTACTATACAAAGACATCCATTACTGCATTTCTCTCTGCCGGAACATCTCTTGATGGTCATGACTAATTCAAAGAACATCTTTTTATCTATTGGTTACTTATAGCTATTACTTCCAATGTCTTCTAAGGGAGTTCTTATATTTTGTAACGTTAATAGACTATATGCATAGAATTTTTTGAAGGACTGGAAGAGTTCGAGGACCACTCCATGTTGTATAAAGAAAAACACTTTTTAAGCACTCTTCTTTTTTGGAAGTACTGAAGTTCAAGAACAAGAAACTGAATATCTCATTTCCGCACAATGTTAATTTAAATAGAATAAAATCCAACCAAGCAAAGGGAAAGAAGCAAAATAAAAATAACAATTTGTGATTTGATTCCAATATCATGGCATTTGCGTTTTACCTTAATAAGATCCTGCTCGAGATGTATTGCATTAAATTCAAGTTGCTGCTATTGCACACTCAAGTTATAAGTATAATGTCTTTTTAACTGCTGCATGGTTCAAGATTGGGCTTTAACTTTATATTTTTGTTTGGCTTCAGACATCTACCTCCCAATTCTTTACAGTACATTAATTCTTTTTCTCAGCCTTCCTTTTTTTGTCTAGAAATTGTTTATAAGTTATTCTTTTCAAATGCTTTTGGCAGGGAACACGCTCTATCAGTAATTATTTTCAAACCCAAGATAACAATGATGTTTCTGCTAAGGAAACAAATGAGAGATTTGACCTAGCTGGTGCTGCAACCTCATTCCATTCAGGTCATCTGTTACCTCACTGAGTGTTTCTTCTGTTTTATGCATCCTTATATAACTGAACCCGCTTCTTTCCTGCTCATGTAGAAAGTGAAATTTACACAGAAGTGCATTTTACAGAGCCAGATGAATCTCCTAAGAAAGAGAAAGAGGGTTCACATGCCTTGCGGAAATGTGGCCTGGTGGACAGCGGGACTCAGACTCAAGTGTGTATTGATAAGGTTCAATTTGTTTTGTTTGTTGGTTATCCGCATCTTGTCTGGCTTGTTACTACTCCAGAAATAGAAGCTTGCTTGCGAATGTTTACTATATGTCTCTATTGCTTAGGATTTTGTCTTGCTTCTTGAATGTTTGATAGAAGAGAGATCTCAAATGTGCTGTAGATGGAGAGGTTGTTGATTTTTCAATCTGATGCATTCTAGTGAATCCTTCTATTGATTATGTTACATTCAGCAAATAATTCAGCTTTTTGTCTTTAAATAATAATTGAAATCTCAGCTTAGACTTTCTTGTTATGTTTCTTGGAGTCTGATTATTCTCCAAAGTTCAATGAAGTGGTGGAATACAAAGCTATAAACTTGTAAAACTGTTACGGGTTCAGCTTTGGGGGGGAGGGAGAAGGAAGGATAGAAAGAGAAAAACTTTGTGGAAGTCTGAATGATCGAAAAGGCAAATTTTTTTTTGACCAGGATCCGTAGATCCGTAGATCGGTCTTGTTATTTGAAACATCAACTTTGTCTAAAATATACCTTTTCTGATTTGAATGCTACTTCATTCTAGCAAGCTTCCCAGGCTAGCATATTTTATGAGACAGAACCAACTCTTGCAAGATCGATGTCTCAGCAAGATGGATTTGCTCAAGAGACTAAACCGTCATCCTCAGGTAGTTCCCTTCTTATATGTGTTTTCAGATTTATGCTCATTTTCTTTCAAGCTGAAGTATGTCACAGCTGTTATGATTATTGTGCAGGAGCTCGGGCTTGTTCCAATGCTGATTACAATGAATCAGAGCACTCATTCCATAGTGGAGAATTTGAGCACAACATACCAAAGGAACCAAAAACAAGTACCTCAAAACAAAAGGTCGGTGTCACTTGCCACTTCATCTACAATATTTTTCCTCTTTGCATACGCTGATAAGCAAAAGTGTTTGAGCTTATAATCTACAATCTTTCCTCTTGGCATACATCTTGAGCCTCCAGACTCTAAATGAGTTGGGGCTTAGACTGGTATGTTGTTGTTGTAGTATACCCTGATGAGCAGAAGTGTGAGTTTACACACAAGCAGATAGCTGGCGATGCTTGCTATCAAGTTTTCTTTTCTGTTGTTTTCTTGATTTTATTAACTTGTAGATTTATGTGTGTGATGCAGGGAAGAATACTGTCAAATGAGGCTTTAACTCCTGAATGTTAAATGTAGAAATTGAGATATTGTTTAAGAAACTGCGTAAAATTGGAACTCTACCACGCGCATAACATTTTTGTTTGCCTCTTTGTAAAATAACGATGAAGGAAACACTTCTTTGTTAAGTTCACCATTCCATTATTGTCATTCTTATCTGATGGTAACATTTGCAGTTCTTTAATGATGCTGACTATTTGATATGTATGAAAGAAGACTAAATTGAGTCTAATTTTGAAGAGTCTTAAGAGTGGCTCTGTTTTAGTGAGTTTCCAGGTTATCAATTTTCTTTTGGTTTTAGAGGAAGATTATTGAATCTTGTCACGGCTCTAAACATGGCTGGGATACACACTAGGGCGAAGTCTGTTACAGATCTATGCTACTTTATCGAAATGGTTTTAAAGAATTCTTTTTAATAATTTTCTGAAGAGGATAGAATCAATAATGAATGTTCTTGGTGTTCTTGCTTTATGCAAAGAAAAAGTGTGCATCTAACTCACAATTTGATTTGATCATTCTGGTTCATCAATGATTTAGCTTTAGTTCCTCTCTTTTAATTTTGAGTCTCGTTGTTGTCTTTTCAGGGAACACCCTCAATATTGAAGTTCTTCCAGCGACCCAGCTCCAGCACATTTCAGAGGCAAGAACATCCAAATATTGTCCTAAAGGCGTCACCGGAACAGCGCAAGTCACAAGCAAAGGATGGGGAATCCATTGTTACAGCCAACTCTTCTGATCTACAACTAAGACCCGATAGTTGGAGCTACAATGCTGATGAAATAGACCCTGCCATCTTGAGTCAGTTACCCTTGGATATTCAGGAGGAGGTGAATGCTTGGATGCGCCCTCAAAAGCGCGCTAACACGACAAAAAAGGCTTCTAATATTGCTCATTATTTCTTACCTACGAAAGGGAAATAGATGCTCGTAAATTGCATTTGTATATAGTTGCAGATTTTTTTTCATTATTGTATTTATTGCGCATTTAGAGGCTAATGATTATCAAATCTCACTAATGCTACAAATTTAGCTGTGAAACAATCCCACATATGGCTTTGTGCTCTCTGTTTAAGAAAATAAATTTAAAATAAATACAATAATGTGAAAATATTGTATATGGAAAACGCAAAGAATGTGAAAATATATTTTTAAAATTTTTTCTTCAATTAAAAATGTATAATAAGTGAAATTTGGGATAAATCAAAATGTCTTGTATTAAAGACCGATGGGAGCACTTTGAACTTAGGCTACTGAACGCCTTAATTTTTTCAATTGAGCGTCTTAAAAACCTTAATAAGACTATTTTGCCTTTGCATATTTATTTTTTAAAAAAAAAGGGGGGGAGGGGGCGACGCATTTTTACGCTGGCCTTTCTCGGTTGGCGCAGGAGAAACACATCACCCGTGAACGGGTGGCATGCACTTTTCTCGCCACCCTTCTTGGGGTGGCGAGCAATTTTTGTGTCCACCCCCCTCCTCCCCCCCCCCACCCCGGTTTGGCCAGTAAACTGCTCGCCAAACCGATTGGATGGCGGTCCAACCGGCCGCCTCTTTTTTAATTTATTTTTTTAAAATTTATTTATTTATTAATTCTTTAATTTATTTTATTAATTTATTTAAGTATATTTATTTATTTATTTAGCGGTTAAATGAATCATTTTAACCTAAATAAGTAATTTTTTAACTTAAATATTTGGAGAATGTTGCTTAATTTTATATAGTAAATTTATTATTTAATTATTTAGAAATTTTTAAACTTAAATAAAAAATTAACATTTAATAGCAACTAAAACTTATGAATTTACTACCAAAAAAATTATTTATAAATAACTAATAAAAATATACTAATTATTTATATATTAATGAAACATTATCATTAATACCAACTAAAAAATTATCATTCTCTAAATATTTAAATTAAAACCTTGAAATTTCTTAGGATAATGGCTCGTTAAAACCTTTAATAGAAAAAATCCAGTGGAAACAATGTCATCCAGAATTGAAAACCCCTCGTTATGCAATTTATTTATGTAGTTGTAGACTTGTTTGGAGGTAACATTTTCATCAGGAAATTGTGTCCGTATCGCCCGTAAAATGTGAACTGTCTTAGTCCCAACTTTAGAATACTTCCTCAATGAGCTCTCTCACTTCTGCACTCAGTACACTCCTAACCCGAGGCGGATCTGTTAAAGAATGGTTGTGCATTCCCCACGGACCCGGATATACACGAATCATCCACCTATCACATATTTTGTAGACAGTAATACGAAACTGGCATCCGATGATCTGTGTCTTCGTATTGGGTCGGGCGCGCATGGTTTCGTCCACGTGTTGACCTTGGTACCGGCCTCCTTTATGACAAAGAAGTATAGTATGACTATCCTTATGCGAGGATATACTTTACTCTATGCTGTACATATTTGCAATACCCTTCGCATATGCAATAGCTTCAGGCCTTTCAGCAAAAGTCTCGTTTGTAGCAAAAGCCGAACTATAATCAGTGTCATCCCCCTGATCAAACCTATCATGCACACATTAAAAATGAATTATATCATAACTTAAACTAATTATAATAATATTAAATAACACATAATTAATTATAAACAAAAACATAATATATAATCCGATATAATGATATTATACTTTAAAGATAATTAATTAACATAATATATACTAACAATAAACTAAATACATTATTAACAAAAACTTACCATTTTAATATAACAACTATAACTTTTGAACATATTACCTAATTAACCAATTCTTTCTAAATTACCAGCAAATTAAACACATATTTAACAAACAAAAAAAAAATATTTCATACAAACATATTACGTAATTAACATAATTTAAACATATAAAAAACTAAACACATAATTAACCAAAAAATTTATCTATTTAATATAACAACTATAACTTATGAACGTAATACGTAATTAAAAAACATTCTCTAAATATTTAAGTTAAACATTATTTATTTACCAATACCATAAACCCTACATATGAAGATAAATTATCCATTTAACTACCAATTAACATACATTTTCTAAACAAATATTAAACTACCAAACAAATACTCAAATAAAATAAATTAATTAATTAAATTAAATATTAAATAAATTAAATAAATACATGAATTAAATAAATTTATTAAACTAATAATTTAAATAAATAAATGAAAATAATTAAATACATTAAAAAATAATTAAATTAAAAATAAAATGGGTGGCGCACAAAACGGCGCCATCCATCGAATGGTTGGCGAGCAAATGCTCGCCAACCCAGACAAAGGTAGCGCCCAAAACGGGCGCCACTCCTTCACCAGAGGCGAAGGTTTTCTCACCTCCCTGTAAATGGAGGAGAGATTATTTCACGCCACCCCACAAAGGGTGGCGTGTTTCTCCTGCGCCAGCCTTTCACGGCTGGCACAATTCTCTCTCCCCTCTTTTTTTTTAAAAAATAAAAAATAAAAATTAAGGGTAAAATTGTATTTTTACATCTTTTTAAGGCGCTTAAAAAGAAAAATTAGGGCGTTCAGCAGCAACACCCTTGTTGGAATTGGAATCTAGTTTTCCAACGGTAGAAGAGGATTTTACTTTTTAACTAGAAACCAAGTTCCGAAATATGGTCATTTTGTATTGTTGGTTTTTATAGCCTTAATGGATTGCGTTATGCAATATACTACTCCTTTCATTCTATTTCAATAGGCTCACTTCCCCTTTTGAGATGTTTTAAAACTTAGTCCCAATTCAGACAATTAATTAACTTTTTTTATAAACTCTCTAATTTATCCTTCCCACTTTTACTGAAATCAAGAATATTTAATTAATTTCAACTATTACTCTTTCATATCAATTAATAACTCACTAGTCATTAATAAGGGTGTAGTAGAAATTTTATTTAAAAGTAACTACATAAATTACATTATTTACTTTTTCTTAATTTCCGTGTATGTTTAAATGGGCGTATTGAATGGGAATGAAGTGAGTAGCTTTTAAGCAACAAAAATGTAGTGGGCTTCTGCAGGTAGCGACATTTCCCATTTTGACCGTTTAAGGAGATATTTCATAGATCATTCCTTAACTATAATTTCTCCAAAGATAATAGGCAAGTAAAAAAAAAAAAAAGAAAGACTAAAATTAATCATAACTCGTGAATTTTGTTCTCTAAGATAGCAAAACAGGGTTTGGTTTTATGTTGATTTATGGAAATGGTGATATATATAACTTGACTTTATTTGAATGGTGTGGTGGTTTGGCTTCCCTCCACTGATTATAAATAAGGTCGAAGATGTGGTGTTCATAAAAATTTGGTATTGTTCAAGCATTGGGACCTTAATGTTGGCTTTAGTTCACAGAGGTTTAATTCTGGGACTGTGTGTCTAACGCCAACACAATTGAGAACACCACCAATTACAGAAAGAAATTAGTGTAGAGAATGTTTTAGAAAAATCTCTACACTAAAATATTTTTGCAGAAAGAAACAACACTCTCATCTTCATCCCTCCTTCACCCCCACCGCCCGAGCTTCTCACCATGCTCACCATTTCCTATTACCATCAGCTTTACCTCTCTAAATTAGTTAGTTAATTGAATTAAATAGGAAGAGAAAGGAAGCCTGGGGGATTTATCGATTGGCCTGGCAAAGGAAAAAGAAGGAACCAAACCGACCGGGACAGGAGAAGAGGAGAGTTCAAGGTTAAATCAACAAGGGGATAAAGGTAATTGGATCTAATTGTTAACCCTTATTGTTCCATACTTTACAGTGTTCTCTTTGATTTAAGTTCTAAGATTCGGGGAGCACTTGAGAGTTTAGGATTAAAAGTTTAAGTTGGGTGACAAACTGATTGGCCTCCATCCTCTCTTTAATCTGTAGTTGACAGTTTAGGATTTCATAGACTACCTACAGAGTTTGGTTTAATCTCTAAGATTTGGGGAGCACTTGAGAGTTTGGTTTGGTTATGTGCTAATAGTTGCATTAAAATTGATTGGCCAAAAGTAATGAAACAAAGGAAAAAAGAAGAGGAAAGAAAGATAGTTACTGATTGTTATTATTGTGATATTCCATTAATTGCATGTGATACGTATTGAAATTACAGGTCTTTGTTGATGTTATTAAGTACTCTTATAGACTATATATGAGAGTGATGATGATGATGTTTATGTTCTTGTTGATGTGCTTGAGTGCATGAATGGGAGAATGGAGAGAAATATGTCATGTGGTTAAACTTTTTAATTCATGGATTGCATGCTATGCTTAGGTCACTAGAAATTGTTCATCAAATATATAAAATGAATATTGGATGATCTAAGTTAAGAGTCGTGGTTTGATTTGGAAATGATTGTATGTCATTGGAAACAAGACAAAGCTTGCTTGATGGTTTCTGAAATGTGCAGGAAACATCAGATTATGTCCCTCTATTTTCAGGCTTGTTTCTTCTAGGCCTTGACCTCTTTTCTGAATTTTCTTTATGTACAACTCTTCTTCATTTAGTGTAAATTAATGTGGTTTCTACGGATCATAAAACAAACTCCTAGTTTGTCCAAAAATCTAATTTGAACATGACATTATCGTCACCGAAAAATGCAGAAAATTCAGAGTAGATTCCTTCTGTTATCAGGCCTTTTTCTCCTAGGTCTTGAACCCTTTTTCGGATTTTCTTTTTGTGAAACTGTTTGTCATTCAGTGTACTTTGTTTTGGTTTTTACGGATTATTGTCCAGAAATCAAGTTTGAACTTGACTTGTCAGCTCTGAAGTTTTCTGTCAGAAAAACTGTCAGCTAGTCGGTCAGTTAGAAGAAGATTCCTGCCAATCTAGCTAGTGCCCTGTTCTTCCTCTTGAAGATCTGGTTGTTTGTTTGTTGAAATTTTCTGTCAGTTCTGAACTTAATTTTGTTGTTTTCTCTGAAAATGGATTTGAAGATTATCGTCAGTCCTGATTTTCAGAATCATAGATTCGAATCACTGGGTCTAAATGGCTCGCTTATCATTGTTTCGAAAAAACTTTTCTTTTCCTAAACCTTTTCCTTGCTTTATAAGTTGTGTATGGGACTTTATGGTATGTTAAAAGAACTCCTGATTGACCCAGAACATTGGTTTGAAGATGACTTTTAATCACTACTTTTTTCTGAGTTTTCAGAAAAACAGATTTTGACACCCCCTAATTGAGCTTGTTGCATTATTCTGAAACCTTTCCGTTTATTTTCTTTTCCTTGAACTCTTGTACACTCAATGAGGTTTTTATTAGCGTTTACAGAGTACAAAATGGATTTCAGGTGCTTCTCGAACTTAATTTCAACATGACATATCAGTTGCTAAAAAAATCTGATTTGTGATTCTAATTTGCAAAATTCATTCCTCTTTTCCCCTAACTGTTTGATGAGTATTCTTTTGACATACCTCTTCTGTATGTCAAAGTAGCTTATTTCAGATTTTACAAAGTGCTAAATAATAATGTGGTTTTTTTTGAAAATTGGGTTTGAACATAACTTATCGAATCTGGAATTTATGAGAATTCTACCCAAGTTGGTGTTTTTGGGATCTGATTTCTTATAGTCATTGAAACTATTACTCTTGATTTCTATTGACAGAACGTTTCGTTGTTTACCCTAATTTACAATGCCTTTGGTGGCTTACAAATAGAATGTTTGGTTCAATCAAAAGCATGCTTTGAGAATGACCTTTTGTCCTTATTTTGCGTAATTTCTCAGAACTTAGGAAATATGAGGTTTACTTCGAGTGTTCTGTTTTCTTTGACAGTATACTCATCTCTCAAGAATTTTCCTTTTGTTTCTTTGTTCATCAAAGTATACGCTAGAACGTTAGGACTTCAAAAATGGCATCTCAATTCTTAGACTTTGCATGTGGAACTTGGAAAGAAAGAATCCCTGTTTATGAAATCTTAAGAAAAAAAGGGTGCGGCTATTCTTTTACTTTCACAGCATCTTAGGGCTTCTTATTATTTCCAAACATGATTTTTTTATTATTAAAAATAATTAAAAAAACAAAAAGAAAAAGCCAAACATATCTACACTTGCAGGGGGGGTTAGTTGGGGCGTCGCAATTTAGGCATGAGGATTCTGTCCAGTAAGGAGAGATAATGAATATAGTTTTAGGTGACAAGCTTATACTGCAGGATTTGGTGAATGGTAAATGGAAGTAGTTCTGTTGATATATCACTTCGTTAGTAAAGCTAAATTAATATTTGAATGGTAGCTTTTGAAAATGTGCAGTACTACTGTTAGGTAACTCTGTAACTTAATGAATTAGTAATCACCTGCAAATGAACTACTAAACGGAATGAGTCCTAGAGTTGTTTTGCATGGAGGATTAGTTAGTCTCTGTGTGCCAGTTGTAGGATCAGACTGTGGGGCAAATGGATAACATTTTGATGTACTTAAATGGAAGGTTGGATGGTTTTATTGGTAATTTTTTACGGTAATCTATGGACTGATTAATGTGATTTTGTCGGTGGTTGATTAATGTATAACATGTGTGTTCTTGATACCATTGAACTTTGGCGATTTGAAAGACTGGAACAATGGCAGTGATATGGTGTTTAATTGAGGAATATTCATTGGTAGGGATGCTAGTGTGGTAGTACCGGGGTTGGGGCTGATTTGTTGCCTTTAAAGATGACAGCTGACTTTTTCTTTTCTTTCCTCAATTATGCCACTTGTTTGCTTCATCAGTAAAGAGGAGCAAATTCTAATGTTTTGAATGAGATACTTGGTCTCATGTGCAGAGTTTCTCGACTGATGTGCTAAACAATTGCTGCACAAAAAGTGTCTTCATCTACAGCAAATCTTAGGTTTTATTTTTTTTTAACGCTTATATGAACTTGAAATATCTGAAACTCAGGTAAGCTTGCTGTAAAGCTTGAGTTCCCTAGAAATTGCGCTAGAAAACCTTAAGCTTCATACGAAATGAAGTTGCGTCACACCACCCTTGTCGATGGCATGTCTGCTGCAGATTTTATATTGAGCTGAAATCTGAAATCTCCTTTATTACAAAGCAAATTTGCTTCTCTAACTCTTGAGGACAGAGATTTGTTTCTGGAATGTTCGTTGAACTCCAATCTAAACATTTGCTCTTAGAAGTACATTGCATTCAGCCTTACTGTAACTTCAGGCATTACTCTCCATTTTCCTTTCCTTGCTGTTTCTATTCATAAAGTTTAAAATTGGTCCAAGTTATTTATAACTTGTTCACTGTCATCGTTTTCTAGAGATTTCACTTGTATCTATTTGTGAATATCTGTTTTCCTTTCACGTGTTGTGTTCCCTATGTATTTTACTGTAATCTTTTTGTACATTATCATGTTTTTGTGCTTAATTGAATGATTTAAGGATGATACTATTCTTAGTGAACCTCATCATGTGCTAAGAGAACTTTTGGCATCCAACTTAGAATAATTAAACCCAATTTGTAGCATTGGGAATGATCTGGCATGCAGGTTTCTAGGGTTTTTACTTGAACTTCCATATAGTGGGACGAAAGCTGTTGTTGCCCAGCATTAAATTTTGTAGTATTTTCTAGTTTTACATTGTTTGATTATGGGACATCTTCTCAAGTTTTTTCCAGGTTATGGAAAATGCAGAATCTTTGAATGTTGTGGAAGAATGCCGGGAAAATTCCAATCCAAGAAAGCCTTGGATCCTTCTTGCAGCGAGTGGAAGTGTGGCTGCTTTAAATTTTGCTAACCTTTGTCATTCTTTTTGTGAATGGGCAGAAGTAAAAGCTGTAGCTACAAAGGCTGCTATGCATTTTATTGATAAAAAGGCACTTCCTAAAGATGTGACTCTTTATACAGATGGGGATGAATGGTCTATGTGGAATAAGATCGGAGATAGTGTCCTGCATATTGAGCTTCGTAAATGGGCCAACATTATGGTAATTGCACCTTTATCAGCAAACACACTTGGGAAGGTAAATGGATGATCAACTTAATACCAGGTTTTACATCTTCATATATGATTACATTGTTAGGTTGTCTGCGTCCGGCAGATTGTTTTTTTTTGGAATTGGGCAATATGGGATTTAATAAAAAATTTACATTCTTTAACCAAAAAAAAAAATACTAAATTATTTTCAGAGTTATGGCAGGATCAAGTTAATAAAGTAGTACAACCTGTATACTTTGTGATGCTAAGTGCAACGAAAATATTGATCAATAAGTTATGAGGTTTCTCAATGCTTTATCAATCATGTTTGGCAACCTCAATAGTATATTAACAGAAATGAAAATGCTGAGATAGCAGAAACTCTGAACTACATAGAATGATTTTGGATTCAGTAAAAAGAACACAAGCTAACCTCAATAGATGAAACTGTGACAGAAACAGGCGTAGTGGTTTGAATTTGTTTGTAGGATGCCTTTAATGCCTGCCCTTGTTCAGCATAGGATATATAGAAAAATGTAAAGGAGCATGGGGAGATTGATGTGAAACAAGTATTAAGAAAGAAGTGGTACTTTTAAATCTGAATGAGAATTTTGTAATTTGACTGAAACAAGATGGCAGGAAGTGGCCAAAACCTTACATAGTAGCGTCAAGGAAAGGTCTAACTGCAAATGTACTGCATTGATATGCACATTAGTTATTGTGTTTTGGGTGTCTGTTGTGCACATGTTGAGCTATGCTTGATGTGGTTTTAGCCGCGTTTGGCTCTCAAGTATCTATGTAACAGGTGTAAAAGCTCTTACTCTACTTGGGTTACGAACCAAAGTTTTTTTTTTTTTTTTTTTTTTGAAATGGTCAAACCAAAGTTGTGAACTGAATTTTCTTTTTTGGTTCATTTAATTGTATATGAGTACCTTTTTTCCAACCAAAAAAAAAAGGGAGTATTTTTTCCAACAAATTTTGTCGTTCTCAATGAGGCATATTGAATCATCAATTTTGTGCTTTGTACTTCTGTTCACCCTATGGATCTATGTAACTAGAATCGGATTAGTAACATTTCATTTTTGTGATCATTCTTTATTACAGCACTATCATTGTCATTTTTGTGATCATTCTTTACAGCACTTTGAAAAGGGTTTACAGTGAAGATGCACAAGTACACATACACCCACCACTTTCCCACTTCTTTGTGTTATTTCCTGGTTTCCTTAAAGTGCGCATGCAATTCATTGCTGCCTACATGGTTAGAAACCACTATGATATGCTCAGCGACTAATTTGCAGATTGCTGGGGGTTTGTGTGATAATTTGCTCAGCTGCATAGTGCGAGCATGGGATTATGCTAAGCCACTTTTTGTTGCACCAGCTATGAATACATTGATGTGGAACAACCCTTTTACGGAAAAGCACCTCATGGTGATTGATGACCTTGGCATAAATCTTATCCCGCCTGTAACTAAGAGGCTTGCTTGTGGAGACTGCGGAAATGGGGCAATGGCTGAGCCTTCTCTCATCTTTTCAACTGTAAGGCTCTTCTTGGAATCACGAGGACATTAAAGAGCAATAGTGAGTTGAAGTGATCTCTAACTCTTTACCTTTGCTAACTTGTAGTGTATACCGTATGTAATATCTCTCTCATTTGTTGAAAACTGAATGTAACAATATTGTTCACTAGAATTATGTAGTTAAAGCATGATTCGGTGAGTTACCATCTGCTGAGATTGTGAAACTGATTGACTGATGCGGTTGATAGTTACATCAATCTGCAAATCAAAATTAAAAACTGTACTAATTTCAGAGACGTTTGTTTTGAGTTTGGGGGTATTCCTATACTGCTTGTTTCTTAATGAACTTTTCTCGCAGTATTTACAATAATGATCAACTAATGTAACTTTACTGACATTTGTAACACATAAAATTGTTTCCTCTAGGAGAAGTACATTTCAGAGGCATGTTGAATGCGCCTTTGACACTTGAGATTTAGCTGGGTTATCCTTTTACCAACTTCGACAGTTGTAAGAGATTTAATTAGCTGGGTTATATACAATTTTGAGGATTGTGTAATAAGAGTTTGAGTGTTATACTGATTTAGTTCAAGAATGACTTTATTTTGAAATGATAGAAAGAGAATAAATAAATAAATATATCTATAAATATATATATATATATATATATATATATACACACACATTCATGCTAGTATCTTAAAAAATATTCTTAAATATGTCTGAATTTGGGAAAGTTTTCATAACAAAGTCCATCGATATGGACTAAAATTTTTACAGTCTAACAACTAAATTTTCTAACATGCAAACAATCCTTTTGTACTTCTTTTTTTTCTTCGGAAAGATGACTGAAACTATCAACGAAATTTTTTTGAAAATAATGGCATCACAACTTTATTATTATAATATTTATTATCCCCTCTACCTTATTAAAACAGAAACAGGATATTAATGTGGTAAGTTCTTATAAAAAAATTTTTGTTCCAAATTTATATAATTTAATAATAGAAAACCCAGAAAGAGGAAATTAACATAGTTGTCTGCTTGACAAATCCTATATGCCAATTTTTCACATTTTTATATTTATTAAAAAGGAAAAAAAAATTATTATCCACAGTTAGAATTGAATAATTGTTAGTATTTTCATATGTTAATCTTATGAGATCTCATTACAATTTACATATTTTAACCACTCTTTCAATTTTAAACCCTAACTAATTCGTATTCATCTCCTCTGAGTGTGAGTCTGCCAACTTCCTTTCCGAAAACTTTGTCATGGATCAATCTTTTTCAAATGTAAATTCACTTGATGGTGGATTTGAGAAGAATAACCAATGAAAATTCAGTACCATAGATCTCTTCCAACGTCTTCGTACTATAGGATGATCATGTATTGATGATTAAACAGTGGATTTCCAATGGTTGATCGCTGAATTTTTATTTTTTTTTCACCCCACATAGTGACAAATCAAAATAGAAGGTTTGATTTGAAGATCTTCTCATCAATGGACAGGTAAAATGTAGATTTCCGATTTATTTAACTTTTAGGTACTTATCAATTCCGTTCTTAGACATTGCACTTTCGTTATTGCAGGGAGTGAAAATGCTCCCTTATTCTAGATTGAATGAAAACTTTCGGATCTACTTCTTGATACTGATTATATAGTTGATTTTCCAATTACAAAAGCAACTCAAGTGCCTCCTCCTCCGGACCTCCGCCACCTGCAATGCAACCTGTAATCCCCATTTGATGTCATTCTGACTGAAATAAAGTAATAATAGTTGTTATCCCATTATCTTAGTTATTTGATATTAAAGCTAAGAGCATTTTATTTCTTTATGTATTTTGTAGATCGGCTATGAATAATTATATTTGGTGGATTTATCAACTGCTACTTTTGTTATACTGGCTTATATGGCAGCTTTTCCAAGTTGATGTAATTAATTATCCAACTTTCTATTTTATGTCTTTATTTATTCTATTTAACTTTTTCTGGATTATGAAATTTGCCATGTTATATGCATTTTGATCTGTTTTTTCAATTTGTTTGCAATGTATCAATCTGTTTTCTCCGGGTTTCTTAATTAACTACTATGGAGGAAAGACAAAAGATTCCCAACAATTTAGAGTAGTTTTCTACGAGAAGTCAGAGAGAAAATTGCCGCATTACAATGCATTGGTGCGTGAGGTGCTGCATTTTATTATTACTTTATTTGTAGTCATCCTATTACTCGCATAGTATTTTTACATAATTACATCATTACCACCATTTGCAATGTTTATGCTTTTCTATTTTTTTTTTTTTTTTGGTTATTAAATCTGCTAAATTCATATGCCATTAAATCATTAATTAGAATGTGTTTTGCAGGTTAATTTGTCATGCTCAACTACAATAGAAGCACAATTCAGGGCAACATCAATAAGATTATAGATCCTCTTATGTCTCAATGACGCAATAGCTAAGGTATCGACACTAATATTACTCTCCCTGAATGTATACTCATATAACACTGCCAACCAGGTACAAAAATGTCCTGCATTATTCTTAATTTATTGTCTATTTATGCATTGTCCTTATTAGGCGTATTGCTCTCTAAAGGCATTGATACTCCATTAGCAATTGCTTTGAATGACCTTTTCTGTGACACAAACAATGTATGACAAATTTTCACGCATTGATAATTTGGTGATTCTAGGCTAATCTCAAAGTGAGCCTGTACTAGAAAGCGTCAGTAAACATTTGTTTTGTATATAGTCTCATTTGGTTAATATTCTCTTTAAACCCGGCGTACAACTCCTTATATTTCATATGGGTTCGATTTTATATTTTTCTTTTAGCTATTATTTAGCTTCTTTGATATTTTGTGTCCACCATCAAATATGAAAATATGCACCAGATTAAGTGATGGTTGTACATTTGTATTTGAAATTTGATGAGGAGAAAATGGTTCAGATACTATGAGATTCCCCATCAAATTCCTTCCCCCAAATTAACCGTTTTGCATTGGGGGTGTCAATTTCTCACTCCATTCCTCAATTAAATAGAATATGTGTACGGGTACGTTTGGAATACGTTGTAATACACTCCCTTTACCCTAAAATAATTGTCCAGTTTGAGATTTCATTTTAGTATCATTCGAACTAAAAATGAAAAAATCAAACTGGACAATAATTTCGGAAGGGAGTATATTTTTTTTTGGGTGTGAAATAGGAGGAAGGGAGTATATTATTACTCTTTAAATATTTCACATGATGTTAAAGTTAAACACCTTCTCTGGTACTCAAAGTAAAAATATCTTTCATGAAATATAGCCAGAGCAGGCTGATTTGATTTTCTATTCAAGGTAGTTGATGGATCTGTAACTTTTCAGAGCTAGATTTTGTCTGTGAATATACTCTACTTTGGAATCTTTCAAAAAAAAAAAAAATCAAGTGCAAGAGATGACTGTGGACATTCAGGCAGCAAAAATCATTATCAATCTTCTTGATTGTGTTCCGGAGCATCCTCTAAAATGACATACGGAGCTTTCTTCACATTAAGAAGAAAGTAAATTCTAATAATATGCAATTCATGTTTAATTTTGTTTCGTCCCCTTAAATTTAGTTAGTACTCTGAGTTGAATTATTTTGATTTTCTATTGTTATTGCAATTTTGAGAATCCAGTGGTATACAAAGCTATTCTTTGTTGATTATTATTATTACTATTACTATTACTATTACTATTACTATTATTATTATCATTATTATTATAATTATTATTATTATTATTATTATTTTGAGCTTTAAGAAGTGGTTGAATCTATAACTAAGCCAAATTCTAGAATGAAAGGATGTAAATCAATTTTTCTACTTTATGTGGTCGTCCAAGAAATTAGATTACCACTATTTTTTATTTATAAAACATTTATATGTAAATATTAGCATTAAAGACTCATTAGCTTACTGCACAAGATTATTATTTTATATTCTTTTTACCTATGGAGATCAAATTTTAATATATTTTTAATAATTTCTTTCTTATGTATCAAGTCATAACATTTTTGTTTAGTCAAAATTTTACACTTATTATTTCATAGATTATTATTTACTTTTTAATATTTTCCTATAAATATTCATTAAAATATAACTATCTACCCCGCACATAGTGCGGGTATCTAGTGCATCATAATACAAAAACCTTTATGCCACGTGTCATCCCATTTTAATAACAACCAAAAATAAAACTGAAAAAATAAAAACCTGCTTAAGAATTGTGGCCCGAGCCCAAACAAAAACTATTATACAAATAAGGACCAGAGCCCAAAAGTATATACATCCCCTTTACATTATTACATACATGTTTACCCTACCATCCATACACCGATATAAATGTATATAATAATAACTGCAAAAATAAGAGATCGAATGGCCCATATTAATTCAATTCTTCAATCCTATAGTCAATAGAATTTCTATTCTTCACTTCTTCAGTAATTTTATCTTAATTATAGATATTTCCTTCTCCACATCTTCACGATTGGAGGAAAAACACATCCATCGTCGCCACATCCTACAAAATAGCCAGAATGAAGTTTATCATGGTATCAGTAACATAACTGATGCAAATTTTAACACAAATCAAGAAATTCAAAATCAAAACAAATATCACAAAACCAGAATATCGACAAAATCAACGTGACTATATTTATTTGCTGATAAAATAATCAAACAGATGTTTATCAGTAATAAATCTGCTATTTATGGAATCACAATTTAAGGATTTCAAATTGGAACAAATGTTACAAAACCAATTGATCAACTATATCAAACTCGACTACATTCATTTTGCATATCAGAGTATTTTCCAAAGAGCAGTTTATTCTAACATTATCTTCGAAATCACACAATTGAATGAATATCAATTCAAAATGATACAAAGCATCATAACCATTTCAGAGTCACTCCCCCTTAATTACAGTGATTCACTTATCTTTATGAAATTCATACGTCTTTTATGCGAACATTCCCTTCATTGTTTAACTATATCAGTTCAACATAATAGCAATCCAAATAAAGAAGATATATACTTACCATCGAATGTGGAGAAATATGTTGAACCAAACCATTCAATACCTTTACAAGTACACCTATCAAAGCACAAGAGTATTCACTACTCCCATCTGTCATCCCAAATCAAACAACCGACCTGAAAAAACTTCTCCTTTTGTATCAACGATGGCTGCAGTTAACCAATTCATAGCAGATATCAATGGCTTGGTTGACACAAAGTCCAAGCAATTGGAAGATGCCTGAGTCAACCAAAAACAAGGCTATCAAGTCTCTTGAAATGGTGTTGATTTATGCAAATGTATTGTATCTGTTATTTAAAAAAAAAAAATTCATTTTGCTGATTAGTTTGCATTCTTCCTTTCGGTGTATAAATATTCTACTTAATACTTTT